GCTGAGGTTGTTCGGCCCCGAGCCCCCGCCCTCTGGGTGCCAGAGCTGGGTGGCACACCCAGCCATTCTTCCTCTCCCGGTGCTTCAGGGCTGGAGAGGCTGGGCAGAGCTATGCAGCATGCCCTCCACTCTCTCTGGTGCCCCAGGGCTTGGGGACAGAGGCAAGTGCGTGCCCACCCACTCCCCTCACCTCTCTGTGGTTGGGGGGGGCACGTGCAACATGAGGAGGCAGGAAAGAGGCGGGGCCTCAGCAGAAGGGGGACTGGAGGGCGGGCTTGGGGCTTGCCTCCCTCAGCCCTGCCTTCACCAACCGCCCATGGTCACGGGCCCACGCGGGTAAGCCGCTAGTGCGCCGTGAGATGCTTTGTTTATTTAAGTGTCCATAAGAAGGGAGCCTTGCTTCTTGCAGCTCCCCTGGCCTGGAAATGGTGAACAGTAGCCAGTGAGAGTGGTGAGCCTCTGTGCCTATAGCCACTTAAATAAACAAAGCACCTATTGTACCACCAGCGACTTACCTAAGTGAGTAATCTGAAAACCCCTGATTTAGACTTACATCTTCACTCTCAACAGCCATCTCTGAAGAGAAAGAAATCAGCTCCTATGACAACTTTTAAAACTCTGTTGCCCGTAAGAAGATGAATCAATCAACATTATCTCATGTGTGCAGATGGGGTTTCAGTAAAGTCTATAAATAACTGCTGTTATCTGATTTTTAGCAAGGAAGTGTATCATTAAAAAGTTTCTCAATTTGTATTGATTACAGCTTTTAGTGAATGTCTGTTATGTCAAACACTGCTTGCTTACTTGATATATAACATCCTTTTTCTCTTACATTGCTAATGTTTTCCCCAAATAAAGAGAAGTGGTATTTTAAGGGCCATTGCCTATTGACTTCCTCTGCATATTATCCCTCCTTACATCTAAAGTAATAAAATGGGGATACTCTGGTAATGGTTTGTCATTTAGGCACAACTCTGATTCAGGGGAAGAGGGAAGCTACTCCACCCCCGAAGAGTTCGGGATGGGACTAAATCTCATAAAAAAAAACCCACAATCCTTTCCCCAGGATGCAGGGCTAGAGCATACACTGAAGCAGTTGTTGGGGTGATGCAGCATGTTCCTTGTTCACCTGACCTGCTTTGGGTTCCAGTATTCCGGATGGAGATGGACCTGGACCGGTCTCCTACCCACACCTTTTTGGCTACTTTGTGTCATCAGTGGCATAGAAGGGCCCTGCACAAGGGGATGGCATAATCAGGCTCCAAATGGGTTGTGTTTTGGCTTCCCATGGATTAGTATGTGCTGAATACTGTGTCATACTATGTTTGCAATTTTTCCCTCTTTATCGTTTATTTTATTTTATCCACTTCACAGGTGCTGATCTTGCACCACTGAGATCAATAGGAACCTTTGTCACTAACTTCAAAGGATCCAAGACATCTCCTTGCAATTCACATACCCCAGGGTATTTATACTTATATCACAGATCATTTTATTTCTTATTGGTCTTAAGGTGGACACTTCTTTGGTGCTCACAATTTCATACACACTCATTCAAATTAATAAAATTATCATACTATCCAACCAAAGTACTTGGTGCTTCACTCTTCTGGTCTATCCTTGAGGTAAAGAGACAGACATTTTGCCACCTTACTCCCACCATATACACAACATATATCACAAGATCTATTCTTTATTTCAGACCTATCTCCTAGTAAATGGACTAAAAATGAAACAAACTGGTGTGCAACGTTTTTGCATTGTATTTTACTTAGATGAGGACTACACACCACAAAGCAGTTTGTTGCTTGCACAAATAATTACCTTGAGCTGGGAATTTCTTGGCTCGTTCCTCAAAGAACCATTCCCCAGTCTTTACTTTCATGTCTCTGAAAAACAAACACCAGACATTGGAACTTTTTCTACACATGGTTTCCAAGATGAATTTTCACAACCATATATATGTGCACTTAAGACAAAAATCTATTTAGCAGGGAAAGGCAACAGAGTGACCCTTTCTAATTGTACAGTATAACTAATGGTAGCTCATTACAGACTGATCTCAGCCTGTGTTTGAGGGAGAAGGATCAGCTTTGTTCTGCAAGTAAGAACTGTTCTCCTCTGACAGAGGAAAGTACTATCTAATGTTTAGAGCAACACACTAGAAGTCAAATTCTAGAGGATTCTATTCTCAGCTCTGCACCTGATTTGCTCTGTGACTTCGGGAAACACAGTTAGGTCTTACTAGCTGTTTACTGCAATAGTCTAGTTTGATGGAATGCAGTGTGTGCTACCAGATGTAATTCAGAATGACTATGTATGAGCAGCACATGCTGCTGTACCATAATCCTAGAAGGTAGAACACAATCTCTCCTCTATCCTTGTTGATACGGACAATGTGGTGGTGCCATGGCCTAACCCTGTCCTCTTTGGCGAAGGTCACTGCCTCTGATATCAATAGCCATGTACAGTACCTGCATTTATCAGGATTATGAGATCAAATGAGTGATATTTAATGAGTATGAAATGCACATAAGGACAGATCCTTACACTGAGAACAATTCAAATGTCTGTAAACTAAACGAAACCAAAACCTATATACGATCCTGACTGAATCTACAAAGACCAGGAAATGCAGCAGTTGGGCTGCCAGCCCCCGCCCGTTAGCCATAACCGATAAACCAGTTAACCATTCACATACTTAAATGTAAGGCAAATTTTCCAGACCTCAGATAATTCTTACAGCTGTTTTCTGAACTTTTTTCAACACCCTTTTGGAGTGGGGAGACAAGTTCTGGACAGAATATTCCAGTAACAGTCGTACCAGTGCTGTATATAGGTTATATCAACTACCTATTTGGTTTCCCTCTGGTTATACATCCAAGGATTGCATCAGACAGATTAGCCATAGTAACACATATCTCATATTCAGTTAGTTATTCATCATGATTTTGTACTAGGTCTTTTGCAGGTAGGATTGCCAGATGGTTGAACTAAAAATACTGAACACTCCCCCCCACCCCCACCCTCCACCCCAAAAAAAACACTGGGGAAAAAATTCTGTTGCGCAGAAAATTGTTGAGCAAAAAAAAAAAAAAGGACCCCAAGAATAAAACAGCATTAAAACAGCATGGCCCCTTTCAGAATAGGGACAGGAACAGCGGTTGAGCGCTAAGACCCAGGGAAGGCATTGCTTCCCCTTGGTCTTTAGGCTTTTTGTCAGTGGCCATTTTGTGTTCTTGTTCAAGCCAGAACTTAGCTTCCCTGCGGAACCAGGTAAGCATGAGGTCCGGGGGTGGGAGGTTTTCGTGCCCTGGCCTGGCTAGGGTTGCCAGGTGTCCGGTATTTTTGCCTCCTGGCCAGGAAAAAAAATCAGAAAATACCGGACATTTTATGTGTCCAGAATTTTCTGAATTTTTTTACCAGACGAGAGGCGAAAATACCGGACTGTCCAGGTCACAGCTTCTAAAAAAGAGTCATCTGCCCATCCTGTAATTGACCTATATGCTATGTGCTCAAATGAACACATCTTACAAAGTGATCCAAACTGCTTGGTATAATTGATCTTTATTACCACTTCACCAATTTTCATGTCACCCTGCAAAGTTTACAAGCAAAGATTTAATATTTTCATCTAGATCACTGAAAAACATACAAAGTAGCATTATGCCATGAAGAGATCCTTGTGGGAGCCTACTGGAAACACCTGTTTCGGATGATGATTCCCCATGTACAATTACTTTTTAAGATTTATCAATTAGCTAGTTTTTAATGTATCTAATATATGATATACTGATTTTGTATTGTGCTAATTTTGTAATCAGAATGTTGTGTTGAACTAACTCAAATACCTTACAGAAGTCTAAATCTATACTACATCAATACAGTTACCGTTATCAACTGTACTTGTAATCTCATCCAAATAAAAAAAAATCAAGTTTCTTGAAAAAGACTTTTCCCATAAAATCATATTGTTGGCATTAATTATGCTACCACCTTCACATTTTTAATGCTGATGGTGTCCCTTCAAAGGTAACTGACTTTCATGGCTCTTTTGTTGATTTTTTTCCAACAGTGTATTAGCCTCAGAAATAAACCAGACATTTTCTCTCACAAGTTGAGAAGAATGAAAACATTTTCAAGATACAGAAATAATTCTTCAGCCTTCAAAAGTTCAACTTGTATTTAAAAACACAAATAGCATTTTAATAACTTTATCCTGGTTCACAGCTTCCTTCCTACCAGAGTATGTACATAGAATTTAAATGTTACTTTATATTTAGCATTCACTCAATCCAGATTAATTTATGTTGCACACATTACATGACTACTAATGAGATCAACCCAAAAATCCCTGATCTGAACATTCATACCCTTTCTGAGGTTAAGGTCCCAAATGGAATATTGCAGCTTGGCCCTCTTTCTCCTTACCATATATCAAATGAAATGCCCACCTCAGTTAATCATGTATTTTCTTTGACAAGTGGGATTGGAGCACCTAAAAGTTGAATTTGGCAAACGCTGCTCATCTAGCAAAACGGGACATATGTGTAGTTCTGTGATAAATCATATCCAAGGCGACAATGGAAATCCTTTAGACACATTTGACAGAGAAAGGACACATCAGAAGCTAAAAGAAAAAGCTTCTACTCACATTTATAAACTTATCAGAGCAAGACCATGAACAGAGAATGATGGCTGATTTCTGTTCACTTATGCATGACTCATAGCAATATCTACTATCATCCAGACACAGCACACAGGAAATACATTTCCATTTTGTTTTTGAAATGTCAAAAACAGTGTTCCATTGCAGCCCTTTTGTCATTGCTTATTCTCTGTTTGATACATGAAGTTTGTCTCCACAGATCATCTAAAATCTAAGACTAGCATCTAAAGTGTTGGGTGAGAACGGAAAAGCATCGGTGATATTGCCGATATCAGTGCTTTATTGAGGGAAAACATTGTAATGGCAAGTGAGAGCTAGATAACAGTATTAGGAGTTAAAAATCAAGATAATGATAATGAAATTATACTGCATATCAAATGTACACCAGAATGTTTTGCAACTGATCATATATAAGCACTCACTCTATAGGTACGTCTAGACTACATGCCTCTGGCGACAGAGGCATGTAGATTAGACTACCCCGCACAGGAAAATGAAGTGGCGATTTAAATAATCGCCGCTTCATTTAAATTTACATGGCTGCTGCGCTGAGCCGATCAGCTGTTTGTCGGCTCAGCGCGGTAGTCTGGACGTTCCGCGGTCGACATCAAAGGCACTTGTCGACCTCCCAGGCACACCAAGTGCCTTTGATGTCAACCGCGGAACGTCCAGACTACCGCGCTGAGCCGACAAACAGCTGATCGGCTCAGCGCAGCAGCCATGTAAATTTAAATGAAGCGGCGATTATTTAAATCACTGCTTCATTTTCCTATGCCGGGTAGTCTAGACGTACCCTATTTGTCATCACAAAGATACACAGAGCCTCTGTTGGCTGGGATTCTGCAAGACATCATTTAGACCCTGATTTTCAGAGGTCCACATGTTTTTACTGACTTCAGTAGTAGGTATGAGCTCAGAACCTCTGAAAATCTTTCCTCTTCCCATAATATATAGGGTACTGCGTGGAAAGTACTCACTGCATAGAACCCACACATAGTCCTATCCAGTGCTTTTTTTGTTTAAAAAAAAAAGTGCTGGTACTCTAGGGGAAAAGTTGTTGAGCTCTGACTGGAGGTGCTGGTACTGCATCTGGAGGTGCCGGCCAGTACTGTGTACCAGGCAGTACCATCACAAAAAAAGCACTATCCATCTTTTGAGTGTTATAGTCCTGAACCAAAGCCCATTAAAACTATCCATCTTTTGAGTGTTATAGTCCTAAACCAAAGCCCATTAAAGTACCGGTAAATGGAAAAACTCTCAATGTTTTCAATGGGCTTTGGGTCAAGCCCTCAGTGATGAGCTCAAATGAGGCTTACACGCAGATAGGGCCTTATGCTGGCCTCCTCCTCAAATGTAAATTTCACTTACTGAAGATTCATTATTTTTCAATATCTGCAATACACAGAAAAATTGGTTGTATAGGGTAAGTGTGTATGTGTGTATGTGTGCGCAAGTGTTTGTCTTGCTGCATGCATGAATAAATATCAGTATAAGTGTATGATATAAAATATAATAAAATGTGATCTTGTATGGCTGAGATTAAATTTTTATAATAAAGCCCTATTTTAGTTACTTTGTGCAAAAAATAATTTTCTATGTTAAAACTTAGAACACTTAACTTCAGAACACTATTCCTAAACACGTTATTTAAAAAATAGTCCATTTATTTTTAACTTATGGTTTTGTACCCTCAAAAATAATTGTGAATCCATCCCCTTTTCACTAAAAAGAAAAGCTTTTTGGAGGTGGAAATCTTTTCTGGCGCTCATATAATTAAAAAACTGCTTCCTCCCCCACAAAAATTATTTAGCCTACTATTTTGCCTATTTTTTGAAAAATGCATTTCAAAATACAAGTCTAAAAATCACACTTTACATGAAAAGGCATTCACTGTGCTTTCTTAAAGTCTGCGGAAAAAAGCAGGATACACAAACTGACCTGAAAGTAGGGATGGGATTAATTAGCTAATTGAGTAATCGATGGTGGGGGCTCTTGCTACCTTTCCGCTCCCAGCAGCAGCTCTGCAGTTTAAATATAATAGGAGCCAGGTGCACAGGTAGCCCAGCTCCTACTACATTTAAACTGCTTCTGGGGTCAGCGAGAGCTGGGACTAATTCTCCTACTACATTTAAACTGCTTCTGGGGCCAGCGCGAGCTGGGACTAATTAGTCCTCGCTTACACTGGCTCTGGGACCACTGTGGCTCTGCTTCCCCTAACTC